GGGGGGGGGGGGGGGGGGGGGGGGGGGGGGGGGGGTCGGAGAGAATTATTGCCTCGAGAACCACGAAAGCTGGAAAGTTGAAACTTTTTTAGTATGTTCTCCACCCAATGCGGCCTCGCGAAGGTTTGGGCAGGAAAAATTACTATCTTGGGAGCCGCGAAAGCTGGGGGGCTAAAATTTTAAAAGAAATATCCCTTTCTCGCTTACGACACCGCAAATTTAAATTCGGCCTTTCTGTTCGCCTGGGTACCACGCATGGCCATTCGAAAATTCAGTGAGGAAAATTACTATTTTGGGAACCAAGAAAGGTAAAAGGATGAAATTTTAGAATATTGTTTCCTGCCCACATACAATTTCACAAATTCAACTTTCATGTGAACCTGAGTCCTACGTATGGTCCCGTGAAATTTTTGGTGGGAAAATGGGTAACTCGGGAACAGGAAAGCTAGAAGGCTGAAATTTTAGAGGTAAGTTCCCAGCCCTTATAAAAGTTAATGACATCAAATTCAGCTCCTAGATACTTGTGGTTCTCACGTATAGACCCATGAAATTTTTTGGTAGAAAAACTGGCAACTCAAGAACCAGACAAGCTGAAAAGCTGCAATTTTAATAGAACGCTCCCTGTCCAAATGCCACGTAGATAATTAACTTCCCGAATTTCGAGGACTAGTGCGTGACAAATTCTAGCCATTAGGCTTCCGAACGATCTCACTATAGCACGAAATACTGCAACAATGCATCATCGCACGGGCCCGCCCAGTGCGCATCACCAGTGATTTTGCTCTTATTTATCGAGTCAGATTTGCTTCAATTTACTTTTATTTGTGATACTGTGCTGTCTTTTTTTTTTCTTTTTGCTTCGAGCTTCTTGTATCCTCGTTTACCTTTTCTACCCTGCCTCCCAGTTCTGCTAACAAAGCAACATCTGAGCTCCTTCACCTTTACTGTAAAAGCACTGTGCAGGCAAGCAGTATTTCACCTGTCCCTACCCCAGGTATCCACGGCAAGAACCAGGAGCACACTTCCTCATTCTTTCCATCCATCACTCCTCCCCTTCTCCCTTTCCAAATGTACGTGACCCAGTTAACTCACAAAGGATCTACGCCTTTTAGTCACTAAACCCACCTACCTCTTCTGCTCTGAACGAAACCCGCCACATACCACCCCATCCCCTAACTGCCACGTTCAAACTGTCGTCATCCGCCTTGGGGGAGCCCTACCAAACGTCAGGAGAAAAAATTTTTTGCAGATCATTTATGACGCCGGCCGTGTTTCTGTAATTAGCATTCGGAGCTCTGGCAGTACTGAAACTCGGTTCATGCCTGTCCGGCGCTTTTGTGGGGCAAGTT